AGCCTAACTCATTCAATTTCCTCAGTCTCTAACTTAGTCCCTTCCCTTCAATGATATGTGACCTCTTACCACCTTCCTAAGCCAGCGCAACCTCTTACTTTATTCCGTTAAAAGGACCGCTTATAGCACAAATAGTTGTGCGCTTATGTGCACCTGTACATGCCGGAACACTGGAACGTCTTAACGTCTTAAAATAAAGTTTCACCTAAGGACATTGCAGCAAAAACCAAAGTCTCAGGAACAACGACTTTGCTGAACTTCCCGAATGAAAAAGTTTAGAGATTACTAAAATCAAATATAAACGCCTTAACACGCCAACTAAATTAAGGAACAGTACCTTGCCAAGGGGTTTTCCACTCAGACATATAGTGACATATCGTTGTACAGAGATCAGCGCAATACCAACACATCTGTCGTATGTGTTGAAGTAAACACTCAAAAATGAAAAGTTTGCCAGGATAGCCTGATTTTTCCAATAGAAATCAGCAAACAACAGCGACATACGTAGCGTAGTCGCAGAGAAGTAGCACAGTAAGGCGAGGATATCAGCGACGCCCTGAATAAATGGGTTTTTAATAATATGAATAAATAGGAAAATTGTGGAAATCACTTGAAATCTTGCAACGATTTTAGAACATACAAACCACTTGTTGTTAACCTGTCACTGCGCTTCTGTCTTCGTTTTACATTTTCCTCCTATGCTGATCTACTAGAACCCCTCCCCGGCTTAGTTGGATAGTCTAACCCACTGAAAAATAACTGGTCATCGAACGTTTACTTTTCTACTATCTCTTCAGAACTCTGCTGATCCAGTGACAGTGTTCCTAAAATTCATTTATTTTTATTTCCATACGTCCAGTGGACGCGCTAGGTATACAGAGTAGCCGAATAGAAATACTATCAGCCGCTAAAAGGGCAGCAGTCGTCCTCAGTTGAGTCACAACAATTAATAACGGGTTAACGACCGACTTAAAGGCAAACCCCGGGATTAGCCCGACTAGTAGGATCGAGGGAAATTGTAAGGTCCGTACCTACCTAGATCACTCCAGCTTCGTCGCAAAAATTGCGCGGTTAGGGCGCTAATCCTTACGGGCCTGCAACCATCGACCCCCGTTGCAACGCTTCCCACCCACCGCGAGATGTGGTGAGATCAGCGTGCATTGATGTAGAGATCAGCGTGCTCTCTCAAACGACGTCTCTCTGATATACAGGGGTGGCCAAAAAAAGAGACACTTCACTCCACATTTCAGACAGCATTAATCACACTTTGCTAAATCAAATCGACTGCCCCAACTTAGTATTGAAGAGCACATTCTAATCTATCTAAACGTTACATGACAGCCTTCTACACCGACGACATCAGAAGATTTTCCCACGGAAACATGGTTCGCGGTACGAGCTCAACGAGGTCGTCGAGGTACCATAGACCATTACGACGTCCTGAAACGCTGGTCAAAAGCGGTTTTGCACATCACAGCTAATGTCTCTAGGAAGCTATTCAACAGTTAATCCATTGAAGAAATTATGAAGCAGCTTCAGGCCGGAGCGATTACGGTAAGCCTCGTTGAGCTCGACGGTGGCGGCAGATGACGTCATATTTGAAGAAGACGGGGGCAGTGAAGGAGGGCCTGCTTCTGTTTACGGGGGAACACCTAAGGAATATTCGCCGTAAAACTTTCATTAACATCGGCACCCTGTGCGACGAAAAGTTCGATGATGTGCGCCATGGGCAAAGTGTCTCTTTTTTTTGGCCACCCCTGTATTGTCTTCTTTGACCACCCTGTCTCGCCATCGTACCACATCCGACCTTACTGAAGGTTAAGGCCTTAGTTTCAGCGTTCTCAAAGACTTCTCTTGCTTTCCTTCCCACTTTCAGGTCGTTCCGCAGCTAAGCTATCACCACGAAGCACCAGTTTCATCCTAGGATTTGCCTTTACTGAACTTGTAAAGACAAATTACTAGAGAGGGGCCTGCACAAGAGATTTCCTCTGAACTCGGGGTTACACACTAGGTTGATCAGTGGATTTATGTACAGATTCGGAAATAACAAAGAGCATTGCCAAATGATGTAAACCTACTTGTGAAAGCATCAGAACGTAGAACGGCGACAGTTTTGGCTGTTGACAAATTGCAAGCAATATCAATAAATACACGGGCAATGTTATGGAGGTGGCAGTAATAAATACGACCTGCGTCCATCCTAAGCCCATACCTATAAGAAATAAGATGGTTCACTGAACTGGCTACCATGATTTTAAGGATTAAAAAAAAACTGCTGTGGTATCAGTGACTTTGATTTCCCGCTATGAGAAACCCAAAATGAAACATGATCTCACAAAACCTTGTTTCTTGGAAACGAGTTCATAATAGGCCAAAATTAAAGGTCGAAGCGAAAAATTGCGTTAACCATTACTAGGAGCGATGTGTTTTGCCCATAACCAACGTCTTTATGGAACTTCCTTATATTATTTACAAAAAAAAAGCTAATGGCCGAGTAATTAATCTATGTGCCAAGAGAGGGTGATTACTGCATTCTTTATGACATCTACTAAACTATTCAATCACTGAAACTATTAGATATTTGGAGACTTAAAAGGCACATTAAACAATAAGGCAAGGTACATGACATGACGTCCGCAATCACTTTCAAGACGTTAGAGTAATTACGCACGGATCTGATTCAGAGAGCTGTACTATATGTTCATGTACAGGGGGGGAGCATAAAAAAAGACATTTTGTCTCCAGACTCAAATGGATTTAATCACACTTTGCTCAGCTCAAAGCGTGTGCTCCCAACTAAAAATTGAAGAGCGCATTTCATTGCATAAGAAAATCTTCATAGTGGCCATCTACGTGGACGGCATCAGGAAATTTTGCCCCGGAAACATGGTGCTCTGATCGAGCTCAGTGGGGTTCTCGACTGATCGTGTACCGTTACGACGGGTTCCGAAGGGCGGGTTCCGAGGGGGTTTGCAGTTAGAGCTAATGTCCCTAGGAAACTATCCCACGTTGAACCGATCCAAGAAATTATGTAAGAGCTTCAGGCTGAAGCAGTTACTGTAGGCCTCCCTGAGCTCGACGACGGTGACAGATGACGTCATATTCTGAAGACGGTGAGGGTAGTGAAGGAGGGCCTGCGTGTACTTATAGAGGGACATTTAGGGAATATTTTGCTGAGGAACTTCCGTCAACGACGGCAATCTCTGCGAAGAAAAAAAGGCTGAAGTGCGAACTGGGCAAAATGCCTTTTTTTTAGCCTCCCCCCCCGTATGTTCGAGTCACGACCCTGCTGCTATCTCCAAGAATGGAATAGTGATGTTAAAAGGAATAAGGTTCCCCTAGCAATAGCTAACAAGACCTTTAAGAAATGTATTGGAGTTGTACGGATGTGATCATTCCCGGTCAAAGAGTATTATCTAATTTAAGGCTTATGGTCAGAGCAAAGACGTCTTGAAAATCCTCAAGTGTTCGAAGGCAATGAAAAATGCGGGAGTGAGCGTCGCGTCAACACTTAATTTCCACGACAGATGAGGCACGACCTCAATGGCCTTAAGTAATGCTTTCTTACAGCATTGATGAGACTATTGGGGCGACCCTCAGCATGTGTTAACGCAGACTATAGATATATGCATTGAGTCAGACTGTCCTCATCTAAAATAATGCCAAAAGAATCGGCGCCAGAAGTAAGCACTATCGAGGCGTACGACAGAATTTTTCTTACTGTTAGCCCTATTATCAGATTCTAAAAAATGTGCGAATGAGGATGATTTCATCAAAATGATGCTGAAGCTAGCCTTGCACTTGTATAGGTTATACATAACAAGTTTTATGTGAAAGAGTGAACGATGAAACAATGGAGGCTTGGGAAACAACAGTTCGCTCAGTTCTGCACTGGCCACGTTCATAGCCTCGTCCGGCAGAAAACAGACGTAAGCAAACCAGCCCTTTTGGCGCATCGGCTGGGACCGTATGCTGAATGTTGGGGAGGGGATGGTGTCCCCGACGGTGGACGGACCAACTTCAACTCGGTCCTTAGAACCGCCACAATTTGGTGCTTACCTCAGAACTAAGCCTTAAAGAGAGGACGGGTCCGTCCCCTCTCCAAGGCTTAGTCCAAGGGTGAGCAAGACCAGTCCTTCTGGCGAAGCTGCTGGACCAGCTGCACCACTTGCGTCAGTACTCTCCTATCGTACCAACCGAGTTGAAGTAAACCGTCGACCGTTGGGGACCCCATCCCCTCCCCAACATTCAGCATACGGTCCCAGCCGATGTGCCAAAAGGGCTGGTTTGCTTACGTCCAGAAAACAAGCTTAGCAGCGTGCTCAAGATGAAACGCGATCAATCTAGACTCGAAAGATGAATGACTTGAAGCCATGATGTCTCGGAAGGTTATCGAAGCGACTCAAACGAGAAGTATTTGACAGTTCACGTAGCCAGGCTAAAAAAAAGTCCTCAAAACAGTGACAAGAAGACGTAGTGCTCTAAAGGGGTGAGTGAAACAGTGAAAAGAAGGCTTTCCTGCCCCCTTTGAAGAGCGGTCAAGAAAAAGGCAACAGCTCATAAGATAGTTCGAAAGGGTAGGCAAGAAGAGAGTTGAGGGAAAAAAACCTCAATAAAAGATGGAGAGGATTGGTCCAGTCACAATAATGAGCCCTCAGGTGAGTGCAATGGAAAAAAAGCAGCGTTTGTTCGCATTACCAGCCCACAGATCAACTTCCTCTCGCACAGAGCGCAAAACTTTCCATTGGTAATGATTGAGAAGGCAACCAGTGCTTTGATGAAGTAAATAGTGTCTCGCGCCGTTAGCCAGTTACCGTAGATGAAAGAGTCATAAAATGCAACATAGCTACAACTGTAAACACTTAGCGACACTTTCATACCTTGTAGGGGTAAATCCGATTAGTGTCACGCTCTCAGCTCACACTTATGGAACGTGCAATAAACCGCTGCACAGACTATCAGTGATGATTGCCTTGCACTAATAACTTTTCTAATGAGCCAGAACAAATTAGCACTATACGCAGTTGTTAGTATGTAAGATCTCGAACGGATATTACAGTATTAAGTATAGCATAAACACACTGGATTAGACAACAAAGGTTCTTCAGACCTCCTTTTCCTCCCCACCAAAGTAACGCTTTAATGAATGTCTCAAAATGTACGGACACCGTATGAAAAGCGCTGTTTAGTGAAATACTTCAATGCTAGATCGTAATTGAACACGTAGCAGGCTATAATACTATTCTCCTCCGTGATTAACGCATGCTGAGAAAGGTACACAATATAAGAGCAAAGCATTTTCGGAAGTATGTCTCACTTCGAGTAAAGTTCGAGGAGCCGATAAGGAGATTTGTGGGGAATATACACTTCAAGGAACTAGGCTGAAATCTGTACGCATTGGTTGATGCGATACCGGACTGAAATCTTCTAATAATGGTGATTACGCTACTGCAACCGGATCAAGCTATCTATGTTGCTTGTTGTTGCAGGTTGTCGGTTTTTGGTGTACTATCAGCGCCAGTGTCTTACACCCTCCAGTGCCTAAAAATATAAATTATCCCTAATATTCCTCAGTATATTAAGCCCCAGCAAGCACTTGAAAGCACCTCTGCTCAAGCAGTGTACTTATATACCGAAAGACTACCGTGACTTTTGCCATAGGGGTAATTTGATGCCCTGACTACGAAAATGACATTTATTTTTAGCGGTGGTCGCCACCTGGAGCCAGTTGGCATCACCTTGCCACGAAACTTGTCCTCAAGCCCAAAAAAAAAATAGAAAAAAAGTTTTGGCCGGGTGTAATTGTTCCCGTAGTAGTGATCTAAATTTCCTCTGCCCCCATCGACTTAATCATGCAATAACTTCTCTTAGGGTGGAGGCCATTTGGCTCCTGTTTTCCCGATCTCTGCGCCCTCCTGCTGGATAGGTCGTTGAATATGCGTTGAATGACGCTAATGCCAGTAATGAATTTTAGTCATAAGGGCAGCAAATGGCCCCTATACAGATGTTTACACCGAACTTTGTGAAAGCAAGGGCCGTGAAAAGGTGACGCCAACTGGCCCTAGGTGGCACCACATACACGACTGGGTAATCTTCAGAAGTCATCACAGCAAACTCGCACAGCACAGAAATCACATGCTGGTTCCGTTGCTCATCGAATTCCACGAATTGGCGCCAGCCAACTCTCCATTCAATTCTTTTGCTTTGTGAACAAATACTTTTGTAGATTCCCCTCGGCCCGAGCATTCATTCCTTTCGTTCAGAGCATTCGTGAAGAAACCTGACCAGGGATCCAGTAGTCGTTTTTCTGTTCGTTCTGCCGTCCGCGATGAATGCAGTCAGCAACCGCTCTGGTACAACGGACATCACAAAATTGCGTGTTCGGTCAACCCAATTTCCTATTCTTGGCACGGCACGAAAACACGAAGAGATTTCCATATGCCCACGTTTTAAGAAGAAAAATGAATTTCCTACGGGCGGTAGAGTATACAGCAAAATTTTTGACCGTGAAAATGCCTTACACCCCTGAGAATGGAAAAAGTAATTTTATGATTCTTGGGTGGGTAGATAACAAAAAGAAGCTGAATCAGTACATGTCCATCATAATCTATGCTTCCTCGTTCAACCTGGACGCACAAAAACAGAAAGCATACAGATACCGTGCTGTCGTCCGAATCGTCTCAAGATTTCTTCCGTGAAGGCTGTGCTAGCAGGTAGAATCTGCGTATTCTGTCTTGAAAACGTAAACTTATCACTGCTGCCGAACGGATTGTCTCGGAAGCGTCAGATCTGGCCATGTTTTCTTGATATATCGCCCTGTCAACAGCATTAAGGGTCATATCGCTTTCAATGCGGTTGCCGTCAACGTCAGTCAACATAACTTGTTAATTGTGCCAATAAGAAGCCTATTTGATATGCCGGTCAAAATCTATATTTCTTCCAGTAAGAGTCAACTCCGCAGCATATGACGCAATCAGTGCAGTAGTGTTCTCATAACCATCTCCATAACGTTATCGCTGATGTTGCGTCTAAACAGCCTGGATCCAAACCCGCTCAAATATTCGCTTACATCATTTTTAAGAGCAAATTTTGTGTTACTTCCACCCTTCCCCCACATCCAATTAGATGAATTCTCGACGCTACTTTGAAAAAACAAGGAAC